ATAGTCCCGAGGTGCGAGTGTGAGCGCGGATGGTTGTTCGTCTCTTTGTGCCCTGCGATTGGCTGGCAACCGGTTCAGGGTGTCCCCCATCTACTGCCCGAAGACGGCTGGGATAGGCTCTAGCACCCCCTGTGACCCTTGTGAGGATAAAGCGGGTCAGAAAATGGATGGATGGATGGATGGATGGATATTACTTATGACTATACATCAACATTGATGCTATTATTATATTATTATTATAATTACATTTTTGCCCATCCATTTTCTGTAGCTCTTTTCCTCTTTGGGGAGACCTGAATCCTATCCCAGCTGACTTCGGGCTTGAGAGGCAGGGTCCACCCCGGCGTGGTTGCGAGCCAATTGCAAGGTGCATATCAAATAAATATTCACATTCGCAGTCACACTCCCACACAAATTAGTCATCAGTTGATTGTAGAGAAATGTTTCGAAGAATGCGGGTGAAGAAAAAAACCCACGCAAGCACATCCGCACTGGACGGCCGGCCCCAGCAATAAAATCCAGCTCCTCAGATTGGTGATACCGCGTGCTCCAGTCCTAAAACGGATATGGAGTTTCAAAATGGCAGCAGCGCATTATCGTGAGCCTGTGGGGAGGCAAGAAGGAGTCGCCCGCAGAGAGAAATCTGCTGTCACAGTGGCGTGCCTAAAAATATGACTTTTGGGACTATTTGTGTCGACAACCGTCACAGCAGTAGACGCATGTTTTGTTGTTTATTACAGCTGAAGGAAAGATGATGGCACAGATGGAATAGCCCGTGTTTTTTTCCCCTCTCTTACATAATGACGACGAGCCAAGAAGAATGCAGAGAGAGGGAGAAAGCCGAGGCCGGAATTGAACCCCAAAACATCGCACTGTGAGGCGGACATGTAAACCAGTCAACCACGATGCCCCTTAAACTATTCAATGCAGAGTATTTTACGAATATTTTCCTAGTTTATGGAGAAGGATTTAATTGGATAATAATTCATGCCCATTTTTTTCATATTCATTTCCAAATTTTTTTTAAATTTACAATTAATTCTGATTCTTACCCAATTCAGTGAAACAATTTAAAATTGTTTATTTCACTCATACTTTTGTAAATCGTAATTCATGCTAATTGTTAATTGAGTTAGTTCAGGGTGTAGTCCGAATCAAATCCAAATGCAATACACCCGACCGACGACAGCAACCATCGGAAAGGACTCCATGTCCACAATCCACGCATCGCACGACTGGAAGTCATACGGCGATGTCATCGCAACACAACACCGAACAGCCAACAGGGACAGGAAAACAGAAAGCAAGAAGGGCCGAGGAAGAACTGCGGTCATTATGAGGAAAATCGCTAAGATTATTTAAAATTTTAAAAAATTAATTCATTAATTAAAAAACATTTAAAAAATACAGAGAGTGCTGAAGAGTCTTGCATCACAACGAAAGAACAATCTGGCAAAGAGCGGTCTTGCGGCAGAGGCTTAAATAGAGGCTGATTGCTAATTAGCAACACCTGTGCACCCAGGTGAGCCAAGTGACGAATGAGGTGGGTGTGCCTCACTGGCCGGGTGGAGCCGCGCAAAGACGAATGGAAAAAGACTGAGCGCAAACAGCAATGGCGGCCCGACTGTGACATCGTTGACATTACATCTTAATTAACCAGTGGAGGGGGGGGAGGGGTCAAGTGCTAAAAAAGATGACATGACTTTTAATAATGTAAATGCTTAGTGGACCGGATTATATTCATTAGCCGCCTCTGATTTTGAGCATAAATTAACACAAGGATTCCAACATGTTCTGTCGGAAACGTGGGAAAACGTTTGGAGGATGTGGAGAAAGGAAGACGTGGGATGGGGAAAGACGGCAGCAGACTCAAAGTAATCATCGGGGGAGGCCTGCTTGCCTGCCTGCGGGGATAATCACTGCAAAGCTCCACTGTCCCATTCACTGAGGATAAAAACCCCACTGGATTAATACACACACACGCATACACACAGACACACGTACACACTTACATAAGTCACAGACCACTTTCTCTTTTTCCGTACATGTGTTCGCTTTTTCTTTCACTTTGCCTTCCAGAGTCCTTTTATATGTAGGACACACACACATGACATACTTGGAATTTTTTCAAAGCCTCCGCGCCATCAGAGTGCATGAAGAAATCTCCCACTTCCCCTTTTGTCACTTTTATGGACATTTCTTTCTGGGCTTGACATTTCGGTATAACAATATATGAACTTGATGTGATATTTTCTTATGCTATTCATTTTTTTTTGCAATGAATAAAATATGAATAATAATGACAGTGCTTGAAGGTGTGCGGTACAATTGGGTTCTGTTTTTCGTCTTAGCTCGACTGAGTGCCTTTCTTGATGTCTTTATCATCATTATGATGATAATAATAATTATTAAAACACCCACTTAAAGTACCTAAATATGGCTCATACGCATACACAAATGGATACATGTCAACATGCTGCCGTGTGCATGCCGTTGACTCATACAGTAAATAAAATGACAGTATATATCAAACAGATGCACCATTTTAATTATGAAAGTTGATATGAATAAAGTGTTGGGGAATTGATTCACTATTGAGGGGAAGGAGGGGAGATAAAATATCCTGTGTTCTGGAAAAGAAGCTCAATTGGGACGTTGCTTTATTCTTGGACACATATACGCAGGAACACGCACACACAAACTGATCTGCTTATCAAAACGGCCATTTGAGCAATTTGACTGCTGACAGTGTAGGGTTGGGGATCGAAAGTCTACACAACCCTGTTCAAATGCCATTTTTTTGTGAAATAATTATGAGATCAAGATAAAAGACTTACTCACAATAAGCAGCAGTTTGGTATCAAAAATCTACACAACCCTGTTCAAGTGCCAGTTTTTTTGTGAAATAATTATGAGATCAAGATAAAACTTCTAAACTTGAACCACTAATGTGACCTGTCGTACTCATGCATCTATGCATCCATTAATCCATTATCTGAACGGCTTTATCCTCACAAGGGTCGCGGGCGTGCTGGCCCCTAACCCAGCTGACTTTGGGAACTTGGCGGGGTACACCCTGAACTGGTAGCCAGCCAATCGTAGGGCACAAATACAGTCGACAAAAAAAAAAAAAAAAGCATTCACACTCACAATTACACTTGAGTGATCAATTAACCTGCCGTGCATGCTTTTGGAATGTGGGAGGAAAGCGGAGTACCCGCAGAAAACCCACATAGGCACATGGAGAACACGCATGACCCTAAGCAAAGATAATGCAGTCCTGTAATTATTAAACTAGGCGTCATACTCCAGATGAACAAATGCCCATGAGTCAACATTCTAGTCAATCTGCTGTATCTTGTCTCAAAGGGCTGACAGATGGCAAGGCGTATTTCATGATGCAAGTTTTTATTAATGACATTAATGACTTGGCAACACTCGGGCAACAAGCGTAAAACATCCTGCAGTCGGCAAGGTCCGGCCTTCAAAATAAAAAGACACACAAGCTTTTTACGACAGGATCCTTTCGCGTGCTGCGCCAATGAAACTCAAGTTTTGTTGACATATGCCACGAGCTAGAAGCAATCTAGTGATGAGAGGCAGTCAGAGCTAGCAAGAACCGGTCACCACAAGCAATATTGTAATGTTACAATGTCAGATTTCTGCTCAAGAAATGTTGTTGGCTGACTTTATGAATTTTAAAAGCACGCCTGCCAGACCAGGCGTTAATGTCAGCTTGAGTTGATTGCCTGCTTCTCGCTAATGTTATTTAACCTTACCACAACACACAACCAATCAAGTCCGGAATAGTAACCTCCTGTAAATGTTATTTACATACGGGGTTGCTGCAATGTTGTGCGTTCCTCTACGTTGTTATTTATCCATACTTCCAAATATGTGCTCATTTTGACTATTGCCTAAATTGCTACGATGCTGGCTTTGTTGTGTGTTTAGTCGAAGGAAAATGAACATTCATTTAATGGTCATTTTGATGTCAGTAAAATCAGAAGTAACACGCATGCACTCACTTAGCAGGCATGTAGTTCACCAGCATAGTCCAGTGCTTGTGGATGCATGTACTGCATCTCGATATTCAGTCTGTGTCTCACATCCTGCTTGTATCTCACTCTCAGGATCTCAAACTGTCTCTCTTTCCTAAACTGTGTCCTCTCTTCTGAAAACCTGTGTCTCCCAGATCATTTGGCTCTCTCTTTCGGTAGCGCTCAGAACCCGCTTTACCTTCCACTCTCTCAACACCATTGTCTGGCTTTGTCTCAATGTCTGCCTCATTGTTGTAGCGGGTTCAATGTGCCCCTCTAAAACTGGTCTAGAACCGCCACTGCACTAGAACAGCTGAACTTTATTTTGGGTTCGTAAGATGCACTTAAATGTTGGCAGGTGAGTACCCACTCCAATTTAACATCCATTTAAACGTGATTGCCAAATTGTGAGCACAGCCACCTCCCGAGTTATAAGAGTGTGTGCACACTTGTGCAACCACATTATCTCCGTTTGTTAAATTTTCATTTCACCTCTTCAAAAGATATTTTTTCATTTGTGTTGTTCAAGTTAGGGTATAAAGTTGTTATTTTTTTTAAATCTATCTAGGTTATTGTTTATCTAGGAATTAAAGTATTCACGCAGGAAATTCAAAACATTTTTAAAGTGTGGAGAGCGTTTAATATTCGCAATATTTGGCATCTGGTCCTAAATCCTTGCGAATAGGCTGACGGCCACACTCGGAGCTGTCCTCGGTCCTGAAACGCTCCACACGGGCGCTACCACAACTCTGCAATAAACTACAAGTCAACACTAGCAATACTATATATTTCATGATGAAATCAACGACAATTCATGTGTAATAAGACAGCATTGTTACGGAGCGAAATAAAAGTGGTCTGCTTTAAAGCGTAGAAGAAGAAAATGGCCATGTCGAGGAAGAATAGGAAACCGTAGAAGCAAAGAAGATAAAACGACGAAAAGAAAAAGCAAAGACCAACCTGAGCAGGTTTCCTCTTCGCGTCTTTCGTTCAACGTGCAACGATACCGCTCACAGATGTCCGCGGGCGCACAAGAGTACACGGACGCGCGCGCGCAGCCGTGAAGCGGAGGACGGACGCTACCGGTTAGGGTTTCTACAAAATAAGATAAGGGGAGTCACTTCAAATCTTAAACTATCGGTCTTCCATGTCATTGAAACAATTCGATAATTTAATTCCGTTTGATGGTATAAAAAAAGCGCTTTTAAATTAAATACGACAGTCGAAGCTCCACATTTACCAACATTAGGTGCCGTTTCTTTTCAAAACATGTTTGCTATTTAATACAGAAGCCAGGACTAAAGTACACAAGTGCCTCTTAGGGACGTTTCATTTCTGTCCCGAAAGTTATCTCTCTTATTTTGACGATGTACTCACCCAGCTTCCTGCCCGAGAACGCGATCATCGACGATAAAATGGCTACGCCCTCTACGTCACAAATCACGGATTAAACCATTCACAAACAGGAAACAAATGTTTATACACACACACGCGCACACACAGAGCAACGAAGGAAGGTTAGCAAAATAGGTTTAAGCAAAAATGAATCGAAGAATAAAAATCGGGGAGAGGGGACAATGGCAGAAAGGAAAGAAACAAAGGTTAGTAAGTGCTGTATGTGCAACATTTGACAATAAAATTGTACTTGACTTGAAAAGATGCCAGAAAAAAATTGGTGGTTTGAAAGGAGAGACAGAAGGGAAGATGGTTAAAATGAAGTAAGGATGCAATATAAAAAGCATAAGGAAGGAAGGGAGACAAAAGAAAGAATGGTAGGTATGTGATAGAAGAGAATGCAAGAAGCCTATCTCAGCCATTTTCGGCAGTAGGCGGGGGGCACCCTGAACTGGTTGCCAGCCAATTGCAGGGCACATAGAGACAAACAGCCATCCGCGCTCACACCTAAAGCCAATTTAGAGTCTTCAATCAGCCTGCCATGCATGTTTTTGGAATGTGGGAGGGAACCGGAGTACCCAGAGAAAACCCATGCAGGCCCTGGCAGAACATGCAAACTCCACACATGGAGGCTGGAGCTGGAATTGAACCCTGTATCTCTGCACTGTGAGGTCGACGCGCTAACCACTGGACCACCAGGCCGCCCAGGAGGGAAATCATGCCAGGAAAAAAAACAAAAACTGTAAAAGAAAAGAACATCTATATACAGTCATGTTTCTAAGCATGTGCACCTGCACATTCTTGGCAACAGGACCCAGTGACGTGGCCCATAGATGCCATGTTGGAGTGGGGGTGGGAGGTGGAATGAGCTGTCAATCACGCTCCCACCGCCTGTCACTTTGCGGCCGCTTGTCACATCACTTCACACATCCGACTGCTCATCACTTCCTCGTCATCGCCTGCTCCTTTTCGGGGACAAACGCAACGCAATTCCTGCGCCAACATACAACCCCGCATCAAAGAAATACCCTCAGAATTTCTAAATACATTGAAAAGCTTACTGGTAAACAAACAACAGACTGCCCAAATGTTCATTTTTGTGTCATGACGTGACATTTCACAGCATGTTATCTCCAGCAGGCTGAGCAGCATCGCCCCCACTCAACCGGCCAGCATGACCCACGGGCAGGAAATTACTTGGCCGTTGCATGATGTATTAACACACACGCGTACACGCACAGCCTCCTGTCATAGGCATTGACTCACACACGCTGAAAGAAAAAAAAAAAAACTTCACTGCAGGCAAACACAAGATAGACCGAACGGCATTTATATAATACAGTGAAAATATTCAAAAGGGACACTGTTAATTCAGATTTGGAATCATAATCAGAATAGATTTATTGTCATTATTGTGTCACAGAGTGTAACGAAATGGACCAGACCCAAGACTGATCAAAAACACAATACTGTGCAGCCACCTTGTAGGAGACAGACAATACCAAGAACAACAAAAATGAGTGGCCATTAAGACACAACAACAAAGACATGGAAAGCCATTTGAGAGTTTATTCGATATCATTGATGACCAATTGAAGGTCTTTGTACGACTGGTACACTCTCTCCTTAGCAGAAAGACAATTCAGCACACTAGTCGAACGAAAGAATGAATGCAAGGATGGATAATGCCAAACCTGAACCTTGCATGTACTTGTTCCAAGTGTGAAATAATGTCAAACAGTAGTGGAAGGCAGCAGTCGATATTAAAGCGTTACTAGTAAGATACATTCCACTGGTGTACTCAATTGTCTAAGAGTGAGGATAAAGATCATACACGGACCTTAAACTGAGTTTAAAGATCTCTCAGAAATGCTCGTCAATGGAAAACAGTTTTTCATGGACGGCAGACTTGAAGCAAGGAGAAGAAACGCAGTTAAAGTTCAGTCAATGTTTACTGGCAGAGGGGACACAGCTTCAAGCCTGATGTAAAAATATTTCGGTGCTGAGAACCATCCCATAAGCCCCCCCACAAAAAAAATTAAAGTGCTTCTTGAGTTCACATCTTTGAGTTAAAAAAGGTTTTCAGGAACCATGCGGGCCCCATGTCCATTGTGTGAGTTGAATTATTGTCGACATGGCGGCTCCAGAGCGTGGGGCAACGATTTCAGCCCTGTAGGTTAAACGTCCGAAGGCAGCGACTGGAGCAGCAGTACGCCACAAAACTGACCGTGGTCCTAATGAAGAAAAACGCAGGCTGACATCAAATACATTTGAAAAATTCTAGATTATATATAAAGTTTATTTCGAGTGATGTAAAAAAAAAAATGGTGAGTTAAAACATATGACCATCATTGTGTTTACACTGATCAAACTTTTTTTTTTTAACTCCGCGATTTCAAAGCGGGCGGTATCAAACCTGCGGTGTACTCCTGCCAAGGCCGTGTGTTGCAGCGGGAAGAGTTTGGGGTAGATGACGGTGAACATGGCTTGAGTGCAGCGGTGACAGTGACCCAGAGGGAACTGCAGCAGATCGAGGAGACTCTTTGGTAGCGGAATGGGTGGCGGGAAGGTCACATCTACAAATACACACTTGATGTTATGATCCATATTTATACATCTCAATATGCACTCATTGTTGCACTGTGCTGGCAGAATGTCAATGACGTGATTGTCCCATTTACAATTCATGATTTTAATGTCTATAATTTAAGTTGCAATGTGCAATAGAACTATTATCCATGTAAACAGCGTCATCCACCGTACACATCAGGATTACAGTGTTTCCTGCTATTGTTAGGGGACAGGGACTGAACCCATGTGACATGAGGCAGACAGGAATTTGCCTCACCTGTGGGATGGCGGCGTTGGTGGTAGTAGAGGCGGTGCAGCGTTCTCATGGCGAGCTCCTCCAGGGTGACCACGTTGTCGGCCTCCGAGGCCACCACTTTGACCTCGGCCGGCAGCCCGAACAAAGCCTCGCTCAGCACCTCATCCTGGCCTTCCTGGTCCGTGTCGCTGCCGTGCGGCGACACGCCGCACCTGTGGACAAAACAAGCAGACACAGAATTATGAGAGGTGTCATAAAGGTTCCAGGACTGGTGTCACAAAAGTTTTCAAGCTCAAATTGTCGAACTTCAAGTCTTCCACTTCCACTTTCCCAGCCTTCTCGCAATCATGAAAAGGATTCGTCCAACTTCAAAACAGGAATCAAGAAGCTCACATGAAGACTACTCCATCATGCTCGTGACTTCATTTCCAGAGCCACACTCCTTAAAGGTGAAGTCAAGTCATAAATGTTTACTATAATATGTTCTATGCATCCCCACTAGTCCAAACACTTGTTGTGATTTTCAGCTTGTCAAAACTGAGAGAAATTACACTTCCTAAAACCAGCCCATTTCTTCACATTCTCTTTTATTATCTTTTAAAACAATACTGTGCTATTTTTTTGTTCAAAAACACTGAACACAAAATGTTGGTGGTTTGTCGGGGGCTGGAATTGATTAACAGCATAATTACCAGCAAAACAACATGACGTATGATTAAAGGAAAATGTTACCCGCTGCATCCGATGACCTTGTTGTACAAATAAGACGGTAGGCCTTTCAGGTACAAATTGTTGTCCACGAACACAAACTGCAGTTCACGCGATCCTCCCAGATCTAAAAAGAAACAACCACAAGGATGTCCTGGATAGTCGCAGGAAAAAAAGCAAGGAAGGCGTCGAGTGTAATGATGCCGACCGACCTAGCGGCAGGAAGGTGAGGCGGTTGGCGGCAATGGAGAGCTGGGTGAGGCGAGCCAGCCGGCAGAGGTGGCGCGGCACGTGGCTCAGCAGGTTGTGGTCGGCGCTCAGGTGCTGGAGGGACGAGCAGCGGTGCAGCCGGTCGGGGAGCGACACCAGCTGGTTGATTGACACGTCCAGAGTCTCCAGGAACTGAAGGTCACCGATCTCTTCATGGGATAGGAAGACAATAAGACATTTTTGAAATGTACAGCGTCATACTATTATCAAGGGTCAAGTTAAATTATTTGGGCTATGTGCCCTAGAATTGACAAGCTAAAATAAATTTCTATTTATTTATGATTGCTTTTATGAATTTTTGCTTCGGTCCTGTCCAACAACAACATACAGGTTGTAAAATGGAACACTGCTTCCCTCTACTGGCCCATAAGGCTACTACAGCTGAAAAGTGATCCCAGCAAATCCAGTCGAACCTCGTTACAACGAACCTCGAGGGACATCGCAAATCTGTACGTTAGAACGGTAGTTCGTTGAAACCATTTCCTATAAAATGGCCGCCAACTACGATGTATAGTATGAATATTCATAGATGTAAAGACATGAACATAAAATCTGGTCGTTATACTGAAGCTTATGTTATAAAGGTGTTCGTTGTAAGCAAAATCGGCAAATGGAAAATGAATTCTGTACAATCGGGTCTTTGAAATGTGAACGCTTTTGGGGATGAAAATGTAAATGGGGTACGTTGAAAAGAGGTTCGACTCTAATTAACCCTGCTTAACTCTACAGCGCAGAAGTGCGTGACACAAAAATGCTTGAAAAAGAAGCACGTGGTCTTACCGGGTGGCAGGCTTTTAAGCTGGTTGTTGGACAGTCGGAGATGTCTCAGAGACCTCAGTCTTCCAACCTCCGGGCAGAGAAGCTGCAGGGCATTGCTGCTCAGGTCCAGTGACTGCAGCCGTGCCAAGTTTCCAATAGCTGAAGACAAAGTCACAAATAAGTATCCATTTTAGTTTAGTCAAGTAAGTGTGGAAAATTTACTTCTGTGACTCGCTGTTATTTGGGCGGTTCGGTGTATCGACTGCCCAAGACTCACCTTCGGGAATAATCACAATATTGTTGGAGTGCAAATACCTAAAAGGAGAACAAGAAAGTGGCCGTCATTTTGGTTGTTGATTCGCTTTTAATTTTAATATGAAACCATGAACTTTTTTTGCAACAAAAAGAAATGGAAAATAAATATTTGGAGAGACAATGAAAAGTAAATACAAAAAATGAAAAAAAAAACATCAGAGAAAAAAAATTGGGGAGGGGCAAAAAGAGGATATCCATGATTTTTGTTCGACAGTGCAAACCAACTTCTAATCCATACTTCTTCCAATTTATCAGTAATATAGTGAAAATGAGTGGAAGTCTGAATACTTATAATAATAACAACAATAAAAAACAATACTCACAGCTCTATTAGATTCGGTAGCTTCTGTGCAAGATTGTCAGGCTGAAAAGATTGGAGAAAAAAAAAAACAGCAGAATTATGGTGTGAACATCACCCTTTTAGTGATTGAGCAGTTTAAAATGCTGTATACCAGCGTGGTGAGCGAATTCCGTTTCATGTAGAGCCTCTCCAGGAACTGCAGGCCCTCGTCTTTGAGCAGCTCCACGGGGAAATGGCTGAGATTCCTGTAGTTGAGAAAGAGATTCTTGTGGCGCTCCTGCTTGGCCATGAAGATGGTCTCGTGGAGCTCACTGGCCATCTTGGAAGATGAGTCTCCTCTTCTGTTGCGTACAGTCCTTCCTTCCTATTCTACGCTGTCATTATCTTTCTGGAGGGAATGAAAAACAACAAAATTGGGAGGAAAAGTAAGTTTTGTTTTTTTTTTACTGCAGACAAAATTTGACCGTGGCTGCCTTCTGCTCTAAATCTAATAACATGAAAACATTATCTGGCCAGTGTGGCAGCAGTTAGGTGTCATATTATGCAGAAAAGGTTGGAAAATGCTCCTTAAAAAGTTGAAGGAAAAGCGAAACACTAAATTAACACGAAGGCCATGTGAATAAAGTGACATTCACATCTTTGAGTGAAAAGCGAGGGAACACGTTCCAGACTCAACAGGTAAAAGTTGACGATACAGAGAGACAATATTCAAAATAACTTTTTATGGATTGACTTTTACCCCTGTTTAACACATTTTAACTTCCTGAACACACTTTTTAAACTCATCTTAATGTATTTGACCACAAATGAACTAATTACAACCATAAAATGTTGAGGAAAATAATGTACAAAAAGCACATGGGTTTAAGTGTGTTATTTGACACCTGCAAGCCTGCACGTGAGTGTGAGGGCGAGAGCTGTGGCCAAAAGCAGCTTCTGCATGACTGTGCTCAGTGTTTTATTGTTCTCCCGGCATCCAATAAATGGCTGAAAAATGAATTGGCGACTGTGGCTTTCCTTTCTCACATGCAAGGGCATTGAGGTAAGGAAGTTGATTGAAAAACTAATAAAAAACCATGATCTCGCTGGGGCATAAAGGATGAACAGTGTAAGGCCCATTTCATCAGTATTCCGAATTATTCATGTGAGTATAAGAAGAAAAGTACCATCTGTGACGAAAAGATGGGAAAATAAATAAGCAATTGGACCGCTGATACATTAAATCTTATCCAATATTCTTTGTATTGTGAAACCTAGCATGGGCAAACAACGAATTCGTGTCAAATAATAACTTGTGCCCTGTTGGGCTTCAAGCAGCACAATGTGTGTGCATTCTGAACACTAAACATACGTTAATGAGTGACAACCGTTACGTGCTTGACACAGACTTCCTTCGAGAACGTTAGCACGGTCAAGCTAAACTAAATTAGCCTCTCTGTCAATCTTCTTAGCACGACAACAAGGCGCGGAGGAAAACAACGACGATACCAAAATAAATCGCTTACCCAAAGTGTGACGGAGGAACATGTTTATGATAGGGATGCCAAGGTAGTAAAAACACAAATATGAACGTGTGTATCAAAAACATGAAATTTAGGTAAATGCAATTCGCTGGACTGTGGAAAAACAATGTGACGTCACTCCCACTCCCGAGGGTTCCGCTCAGATCAATAATTTTCCTGAAATTTTTCCTGCAATATTTCTTTGAATTTCTGAGCTAGTCATAAACAATTCGCAACATGAGATAATTAAAAAAAAAAAAAAAGATAATCTCCTAAATTTTAATTTACTTTTTTGTGACGTAATCTTCGCCCTCGAACTTTGTGGTCCAGCAGTCCTACAATAAAATTATAGATTTTCATGTATACATTCTGTTCACCCATTATTTTGGTAATTTATAAACAATACGTGAACCATAATAATATATATTTTAAATTTACGTTTTTAGTTACGCACGTGACATCATTCCGCCTTTGTGGGAGGGCTGATGCTGCTTTCGATGAGGGTGGGAAATCGGAATGTCCCAGTTCCGACCTCAAAGCGTTCGTGGCAAGTGACTGATTCCGATAAATTGTTTGTAGTTCTAGATCATTACAGCACATTTCCAGCAAATCTTCGTAATAATTTACTTAATTTCTATAAAGGAATATCTTATCTTCAAATAATTTCATTCATTTCATCACAATAACTTCATGCGGGGAGATAACGGCATATCTTCACTTGTCAGTCCAAATCACATTGTGTTCCATGAAGTTATTTCGAATAACTTAACACAGGTAATTAATTAATAAGCAATTCGAAATATGTTTCTAATCTTGTAAATTTTGTTTCGCCACGGCCTGTGTCTCCATGGGGTCGCCATTCTCGAGGACGCCACATAGAAGTCGGTCGGTAATTAATTTTTTTTAGTCGTCCCTCCCACTTCAAATGAGCGTTCTCTCTTTCCTAGTATGAAGTTGGGAAGTCCGACCTCTCAACTTTTTCGAATCCAGCATGAGTCCAGGCCTGTCACTCACACGTACATCATTTTGTGTTGTGTCCGATCAGCCTTTAAAGTTAAAAAATAAAATAAAAAAATCACTGAATAATGTACAAAATCATCGGTTTGGTTACTTAAATGTTAAGTCATCATCAGCAAATAACCACTCAATATTTGTTTTTAAATGCGAATAAAAAAATTTCCAAAAAGTTTTTTAATTCAAATGTTGACAGTTTTGAAATATTTTTTTCTCTTAATATGTTTTTAGTGTACATGCACGACAAGCTGTGGGCTAGCCGTCACTCTTCAGCCCGACAATTTTCTACATTATTCTATGATTATTTTAAAGGTTGATCAGACATAATACAAAATGTGAATTTAGATTTTCCAATATTTGTTATCTGCATTGTGGTTTACATGCAAATGTTCAATAAAAGTAAACTAAACTATTCCGTCTTTAGCAGCTATTGCCCAATATTTGTGTGCATTAAAGGTCATTTTAAGTTCAACATTTTTATTTTACCCGCATCAACATGTCATGACTCTAATAGGAGTGTGAACATTTGGAGATATTTTGCCATTGAGGCTCAATAAAGGCAAGCATTCATGACTTGCATACATTTTTATTTATCTTAAATGCCATGTAGAAAAACAAACAAAGACAAGAACCAGAGAAACATTCTCTTCTTCCTTCAGCCAATTTCTCTTCTAACCTCCGCACGTATTTGAAAACGTCATGTACAAAACAAAACTGGGAAGAGAACACCCAAAACAAAATCTCATTCTAACTTTTCATTAAGAATGCTGAAAGGCTATTGGAAAAATGTACAAAACTATATTGGCCATGGATGCAAGAAAAAGATTTTATTTTTATTTTTTTTACTTTGAGGCCATCCAGTGGTAAAACAACAACAGCAAAATCCTGATCCCTTACTTCTGTCTTGACTGCATTTAAAAAAGCAGAGAATGAGGAGTACGTGGCTGTCACCATGACAACCCCAAAGAAACCAGAAAGCCAGGATTTTGCTGTTTTCTCACCTTTGAACATGTGACCGAACCAAACCTGATGTGGTCCACTATGTCATGAAGACTTCTATAAATACCTCCCTGGGGCAAACAAAATATCCGCCCAAAATACACCCAAGTCTCAACCAGACATTAAAACTGGCTTCAAAAGTGTACAGAATGTGCCTCCACATACTCATGAATGTGCGAAGGAGACGTGGAAGATTGAATGTTGTGGTGTTTTTGTTTTTGCAAACAGTGACAGAAACATGGGCAGAAAAAAAAATAGCTGAGCTGTATTGCATTATTTTACATTTTACGAAACAAATGGCATCCTTCTACCATCCTTTTGCTGATATGTCATGAGGCATCGAAAGAGTATTTGGGCCGCATCGAAAGGGGGAAGAAAATGAAGTCATAATTTACACAAAAATAAGTGATAAATTATGTAATATTACAAGAAAATCCCCGAATGCACAGTTGTGATTTTTGGACAATAGTGTTACATGAAAAAAAAAAAAACCCTTCTGTTTTGCGGCACAGTTGTAAATTTACAGGGAAAAAAAGAGTAACATTGCTAAAGTCAATAAATTCAAAATATTATGAGACTATAACATTGAATGTACCAGAACAATGTCAGAGCTTGTACAGTATGTAGTAAGTTGAGTCATAGCGTTATGAGGATCAAGTAGCGACCTCAAAAGTCCCAAATTTAACCCCCCCAAAAACATCAAATTAGTATGAGAATAAAGTTGTAGCATTGAGGAAATAAATATTGAAAACAAAAAGGATGCCTTGAAGTGACAAAACTAATAATTTATTTCTGTAACGTGACACCCTATAATGTAATAGGAGAGCTAAAATAATGAAAACCATAATTTTGAACAATAACATTCAAATATGAAGATAAAGTCAGCATGACAATGTTGAAAAATAACTAGAATATCACAAAAACATGGCAATGAGTTTGAGGAAAGTGTAGAAACTTTACCAAAATAAATGTAATATTACCAGCTATCTATCTATAAATGTATACATGTTAACACCTAACTACAAATGTGTACTTGTATGACCGTCACATCAAAATTTGGATTTTTTTTTAACTTATTGATGGCAATATTTCAACTAATTTCACAATGCGACATTTTTTAGTAGTTTAGACTTTTTTCTGGTAACTGACTTATCTGTCTTATAGCTGTTTTTGATCAAATGTTTTTATGCTTTTTTTCATTATATATCAACGATTCTTCTATTTTGGCTTTTAACACCATTTGATGCCTTTCACTGTGTAATGTTACAATGTATCCCCCCAAAATGCCATGTATTTTGTCGAATAAGTACATGTGACTTTTTGTTGTGGTCCTTATACTCTTAATCCAATGGAAGGAAACGGATTATTTCCATCCAGCTGTATCTTAAGTACACTGTGCCAGTACAACAGCACCTACAGTCACGCACCCGAGTTCCACTTCGAGCATTGTGATTGGTCGATTATCTACGTGGTCATCCAAAAAACAAACAAAAAACAATCCCCATGTTTCCGTGCTGCTGTTTGGTTTGTGAAATTAAAGCTCCTCCACATCAAAATTACAATAAAATAAAACAACAGTGAGGTAGATGGATGGTTGAACAAAAGAACTGAAAAAAAAACACCTTCTCCCTTGCCCCAAAAGTTGCAAAAACCCCTAAAAAAAGGTATCAAAACAAACAGAAAAAGTCTCCAGCTATTTCTGTACAGTGATTTACACACAAAAAAAAACAACACAAATAAACAAGGCAGGCCGTTATTTCTTCAACATATATAAAATAAATTAATTCAGCCTTTTACTGAGGGAACAGAAATATCTTTAGCATTATTAGCCGACTATATCCTGCTGCCATTTTGTAGTGAGATTTCTTGACCTTTAATAGTAGCACATCAAGACTTTGTCTTCATTAGCATTAGCTAGCTAACCAACTAAAATGAGTGACATCGGCTTTCATGTTCTGAATGCCAGAAAAAAAGTCATAATTTAAAAATAAACATGTACGCTTATTTTGTGATGATGAGGATTCATGTACTGTACAACGCCATTTTAGGTGCCTATCATCTCTAGATTGTTAGCATAAGCGAGCTAGCTGGCTTAGATGCTTGCTGAAAAATCTAGTGTAGTTGGTCGATTTAAAAAAAAAAAGTAACTTGGAAGCAGACTTGGAAACATCTTGAGCAAGCCTTGTGGCTTCCTCTTGTTGGCTCGTTCAAGATTTTATTTCTCTTGTTTTCACAAGAGGAATAAAATGCGGTACCTAAGTTATTTTACTTGATGGTGACGGAAAAATTGAGAGGCTCAATGAAAAACTTTGGTCAAAAATGCACAAAATCCTAGCTTTGCAGCCAGCTCAATAGCTAGCACTGCAGCTATTGGAAAACAAGAGATGACGACTGTTATTTCAATTCAATGTTGTTTGGGAAAAAAAAAAAAGCAGTAGTGTGTAAACAATGTATTGTTTTCTGACTCAACAACAGCTATCCGAAAACAAGAGGGCAACAAAACACTTATTTCAAAGGTTGATTGGTGACAAACCATTAATGTCCACTTCATGTGATTATTAAAATTTGAAAATGTCAAAAACTTAAGGCAGCAGCTAGCATAGTACCTAGCTTGACAGTTACATGAAGAAAAGTCTACAAGAGTTAATTAGATTGATGGTTGTTGACTATTAATTTAATTCGATAAGAATTGGAGAAGGAGAAGGCATCTTGTGCGACAGCTAGCTAAAAACGAGAATATTAATACTGTGATTTGGCGGCAAACATTTGAGTGTGGTGAAGAAACACGCACGCACGCACTTTATATCTCAATCAATAATATTTTTTAAATTTTTTGCCAGAACCCCACTAAAGGTAATAATTAAAGCCTAAAATGGCAGCACGAACCTGAGATTTACTTGGGACTCTTTCCTAAGGAAAAAAGAATATCAGGGGTACTTCTTTGAAATCAGCTCAGTTACATTTAAAGAAAAAAAAAATAAACAAACCAAAAATCATGGCAAACTGCAGTGAAAACGCTCGTAAATTCAACCTGAAGGTCTCTTATAAACTCAAAGTCATATATATTTATATAGATCTATATTACAACCACAAGAGAAAATAAGGAATAGCAGCTTGTCTTTTCTTTTGTCTGTACAAGATGAACACGGGGACCATATAAAAAGGTAGAAAAAGTCAACCCCCCCCCCAAAAAAATGGCATAAATGCTTTTGAACAATATATGTAAAAAAAATTCAATTACACCACCATGACTTAGTGTTTTGACCTCTATTCGGAACACTTTGCAATAATTTCCGACAATTTGTGGCTCAGATTTATACGTCAACACAAAATGGTGTCTCAAAATGGGGACCACAGTATCAAAATGTTGGTTTTGGAAGGTTTCAAACCATTCAGAATATATATATTTCTAATCTCACTGAAAACCAACGAGCGCTTTCCAACAATTTATTTATGGCACAAATTTTAATGTAGAGGGAAAAAAATGGAGTAGCAAAAATTGTTTTACATTGCTTTTTTTCTGTTACCATATGACTACCACAATGCCAGCCTCCATCGGCAGAGTCTCAAAATGGCTTTATGCCATATTTGTATGTTTTTGTGCCATCATGTTGTTTTGCGTTGTGCACAATGGCAGAAAAATGGACGACATCTCTAAGTCCAAAATCCAAATGTTTATAGGCGTCATTTTTCATATGTTCCACTGTTTTTACCAAACCCTTTCAGGCCTTTGAATGTCATTATCGTACCGATGAGCAAAATGTTGGCGGAGTTATTAAAAAGTTGTTTTTGATGTTTTAGTATTTCCACAGTCATTTTCCTAATTTTTCCTGCCTTTTTTTTAAATTGTTATCGTAAATGCGCTTCACAAATGACTGAAAGAAAAGTCATGGTCGTGTTATGAAATCTTTTTTAGAAGTTTTTCGACACTGATTCGCAGCACTTGGCGACTGTGTGTGGCTCAGATTTTGATGTCGATACAAAATGAATCATCAAAATGGAGACAAGAGTATCAAAATGTAGTGTTTTTCATCTTATTTTTCATGCCTTTTACATCGTTACCGTACCAACTAGAACAAAGGCGGCAACATGGAGGACCTGCCTATATAAGTGCTTCATCTCTCGTTAGGTATTCATCCATAATGCCTGCCCAAAAATGGACCGTAATCCCCTTAGAAATGGCTCTTGTTTTACTTAAGGGGAAAAAAAAAAAAGTAAGAAAGCGTTTATAAAACAAGCAACTCCCTCCATGGTGTTTTTCGGCAGCAAGGGGGCAGTGTTGCATATGGTAAGACAACAACAACAACAACAAAAAAAAGGGTGGCATTACAGCAGAATAGGTTTGACTTCCCATGAGTCTTTGCTCCGTCCAATCAGCAGGCAGACGACTGAGGGAGGGGCATGGCACGCTGGTTTTTACGTCCCCCATTCATGTGGGCGTAGGGCGGCAGCTCGTCCAGGGTCGCCTGCATGGCGGCCACTGAGCCGGTCCCATTGGGCGGCGTCCCCATCCCTGCTGCCCCCACTACTGATGACGAGGTTGATGACATCAACCCATTAGCCGCTTGGTGCCCGATGGGCTCCTTGTCCGGACAGGGCCGGCTGGGGGAGCCGGGTGCTAGCGAGGGCCCGGGCGGAGTGTGGGAGCTGGGTGAGGGCGGCGTCTGTAGCGGCGTGTCCAAGGGGACGTCGTCCATGTTAACCGGGTGTTGTTGGGGCGGGGGCGGGCCCTGAGTGTCGGGCGGCTTGTTGTCGGCGCTGTGGAAAAAACTAACCTCACAGAAGGATGGTTCAAGATCGTCCTTCACGCTGCCGATGATTTCCACGAAAGATGGACGCATTTTGGGGTTGTACTGCCAGCACATGCGCATCAGCTCAAACCTGTACACACACACACCACACACACACACACACACACACACACACACACACACACACACACACACACACGATAAAATTAGGATTGACTGAGATATAACCATCCAAACACATTCAAATGGCACTTAATGAATCTACACGCATAATCTGGATCAGATCCGAATCAAATGTTTGAACATTAAAGCTTCTGTTCCTACATGCACTGCGAAATTGACATCTAGTGCAGGGGTGGGGAACTCCAGTCCTCGAGGCCCACTGTCCTGCATGTTTTAGAGGTTTCCCTCCAACACATTTGATTCAAATGATCAGCAAGTTCTTCAGAGGCGTTTTAACAATGCTGAAACTTTGAATCAGGTGTATTGCACGAGGGAAACATCAAAAAATTGCAGGACAGCGGTTGCCCATCCCTGATTTAGTGATGCTTTACTGCAGGGGTGTCAAACTCATTTTTTGTCGCGGGCCACTTCGAAGTTACAGCTTCCCTTGGAGGGCCAATGCAAAATCTCAACGTTATTTATTAACCATGACAATTTGACATTTCGGTGAAGATTTCAGCAAGGATCATCAAAGTTGACACACATGATTTGCTCTCGCGGGCCACATAAAATGACGTGCCGGGCCGGATCTGGCCCCCGAGCCTTGACTTTGACATCTACTTTAGTGACTGAGGCACAACAGACTAGTGCATATACTACTGTAGGGACTGCTGAGTAAATTTTACATCTTCATTCGCCACTATAGCGTCTGATGAACACAACTGAGATCTAGCGTCCACTATAGGGACTGAGGTGCAGCTTTGACATCAAGACTGTCCATGAAAGTGTCCAATATGCAAATATGTCACCTCGTGTCCACTGTCGTGACTGAGGCACAACTTTTACAACAGGAGTCAGCACATACAATGGACAATAGCGTTGTCCACTGTAGTGAATGATGCACTTTTTTAATATCAAGTCTGCCATGGTTTTTAACGAACAGCTTTTGAATAGCTGTCCATTGGAGTGACTTGGACATCAAGACTGATGCATGCATAGATAGAGATTGGACTTACAGCATGTCAGGGCAATTGTGCGGTTTCTCCAGCAGGCCTCCCTCCATGACGAAGCGCAGCACCTGCTCATTGGACAGGCCCTGGTAGGGTTGCTCTGCCAGCGTGGCGATCTCCCACAAGACCACACCAAACGACCTAAATGGAGACGGATGTGGTTTTGAGGGCATATGGGTGGCACTGCATGATATGGCACACCGTTATCTACTGTAATGACTCATATGCAACTTTGACCTAGAGTCCCGAAGATTTAGAAGGGAACAGCCATTGGGTCCAGCGTAGTGCTTTGCAAATTTGCCATCAAGACTGAAGATGTATTGAATACAAATAGAGGATAAATGCTGCCAATACAGCCGTATGTTGTGGTGACTTAGAAAACAGCTTTTGAAGAGCTGTCCCACATAGTGGCTGCTGCACAGCTTCGACATACAGACTCATGCGACGACACTCACCAGACGTCGGAATTGGTGGTGAAGACGCCATCCTTCAGAGACTCAGGTGACATCCAGCGGACGGGAAGCAAGCCCTTCCCGCCTTTGCGGTAGTAGTCTGTCTCGTAGATGTCTCTCGTCATGCCGAAGTCTGCACAAACACACGCAAGGCACCAACATTTTGATTCATCATCATCTCAAACAGTAAATGTCAGGAGTAAATGTCAAGCCAATGTTAAGTGTGTCAATCGGTTAGCTTGCTACAGAACTGTGGGAGTGACGAACGGTGAGGTTGCGGCAAATTTGAGTGTCAACCTCTTATCACTCCAACAACGGGCATCACGAAATTCCTCCAGGACATTCCTTAGGAATTGCGACCCATCTCAATTACCTCCTATCTTGACGGTAAAGTCCTCGGCCACCATGCAGTTGCGCGCCGCCAGGTCTCGGTGCACAAACTTGCTGGCATTGAGGTATGCCATGCCATCTGCGATCTGGCCAGCCATCTGCAGCATTTTCTTCAGGGGCGGAAGGGACAAACTGGACCACTGCTGCTGCAGGACATGCAGAGGGGAGGGTATCGATGTTTATTTCAACTATTCAGTTTTTTTTAAATATCCTTCCTTTTCCAAACATTTTTGTGCAGTATATATATACATATATATTTTTTTTTTTTTGCGGGCTGCGATGGTCCCTATCACCTTGCGAATGGTGAGGGTCCACTGTACTGGCAACCGGTTCTCAAAAAACAACACGTTTTCGATTCCCGTCCCAACCTTTTGTATCATTTTGATTCACATTACCTCTTTCGGTCGGAGGGAGCGCAAGTAGCTCTTGAGGTCTCCTCGTGTCATCAGCTCCATGATGACCAGGGTGGGCTGGCCCTGAGACACCACCCCCAGGAGACGCACCTATCGCAAAATGGAGCGTGATGAAAAAGTGTGTTTGCCATGTAAAGGGTGCGTGTGTGTGTTTGTGTGTAGGTGTGCGCGCGCGTACCACGTGATGACAGTTGAACTCCTTCATGACGGAAGCCTCGTTGAGGAACTCGATGCGCTCCCTCATGCTTGCCGACTCGTTCACGGTCTTGATGGCAACTCGCGTCTCAGCTTCGTCCTTCACCACGCCCTTTGCGATGCCCTCGTACACCATGCCGAATGAGCCCTGACCCAGCTCGCGGCTCAGGGAAATCTTCTCGCGCGCCACCTCCCACTCATCCGGCACGTACACTGTGCGGAGGAGAAAAGCGGGTAACCTTAAAACAAACGTTCACCACGCGTCTTTGACTGTTAGACAATCCTTAAGACGTGATGAGACGAACTCAAATTCAATTCTGCGGAACTGTATTTGATTTGTGGATGGTGAATGAGGAGACAGTGTTCAAGCGCTTTGAGTGCATTGCAGGTAGAATTTGACATTTTCCAGGAAACGTCAAATTGAAGCTTTCGCAGTACCGACGCTCCTTGAGTTATTTACATCAACATAGCAGTGTGCCTGCAGGGAAAACTAATATGGACATTCAGCACGGTTTTCCAACTAAGTACTCGACTCCTTAGGAAGCCATCCTTAACAATTTTGACAATCGCTTCTTGGCATTATCCAGCAGAAGGAGCAATTCCTTTGGGTTCGGCTTTATCTGCATCTTCTGTACTCACTTTCAGCCGCACTGAAGTACTCCGGATTGACTGACGCGTACAGGACTCCATTCCCAAGCCGATCGCTGTTCCTAGCGGCAAAGAAGTGAGTGTCAATCACATAGAATCCCAAATCAACACTTGAATAAAATGTTGTAAAATATATGTATAGTGTCTATGTTGGAAGGTAGTAAAAGACATTTGACCGCATTGAGAGTCATCATAAATGTTGCATTTTTCTATACCTCGAGATTTCCTATTTTATAGGAGCTTACACTGTCAATTTGTTTCATCAATTCTCCACAAATAGGACATTGCTGTCTCTGACATGCCTGCTAAAATTACACAACTGTCAAAATCTCTCCAGTTATCTACCTATTTCTTTATTTTGCTGCAATCAAGCAGATTTTTTTTCCCCCTTTGTGACGACACTCATGTTTATTCAACGCACCTTTTCCTGTTGAAGGCGAACAGCGAGCAGGCCAGGATGCAGATTAACAAGATGATTACGATGGGGGCCAATATGATGGCGTAGAGGAAGCTTTCATATCCTGATGGGTCAAGCATAGTCAGTATTTTGGGTTATAGTCAGTGTGTTGGTTATTAGGAGTGCGTTGAATGTTCGAGTGTCTTACGTTCGGCCACATAGAGATCTACCGGTCGCGTCCAGGATCCGTTCCCTGCCAACGATGTCGCTCGGATCCTCAACGAGTAGTTGCCCGGACTTAGGTTGGACAGACGGACGCCACGCTGTGTCCGATAGAGCTGACCCGACACGCACTCGTGTTTCTCAGTCTGACACACGCGCACACGAACAAAGAAAAACAAACACACACACGCAACCATTAGACCATCAGCTACATGGACAACGGTGCACATTTTTCCAAGGTTGAAGAAATCTGTTTTTGAATGCAACGATATTTTTCCACACCGGAAACGAGGTAAAATGATCTAGGGTCTTATGTATTGAACTTTAACTTTATCTGGTATGTGACCTGGCTCAACACAAAGAAAAAAAACGTGGCTGCTGTAGATTATAATATCTAGTTTTGCCATACCTCTGTGCCCAGTTTGAACTTGATCTCATACATGAGGATGAGGCCATTCGGGTGAGACGGTTCCGGCCAGCGCAGGAACACCGAGTCCTCGTGGCCCTCCCAGGACACCACGCCCGGAATGTCATCCGCCTTTTCTGGAAGGGAGAAGAGAAAAAGGCGTCATTAATTGAGACCAGGAGTGGGCCAAGTTTGGCTTGGGAGCCACATTATGAACCGCATTGTCATTTAATTCGGCCCACCTAGCACTTAGATTATCACGAGTCCTGTAGTATCTTTTACAGTAAATTTACCCCGCCCTCAGACTCTCCCCACTAAAATTACACTATACATCTTCATTTATATAGCGCTTGCAACATGCCAACTCCACACAGGAAGGACAGAGCCGGAATCAAACCTTGCATCTCTGCATTGTGAGGCGGACATGCTAACCAGTCAACCACAGTGTGCCCCCAAAAAGATGTTATTGTATATAAAAAAGTTTTGAACCCAACTAGAACTCATTCGGTGCCATCAACATGATTACTGAACGGGAATTTTGGGTGCCAGTCCAAGTGCTACTGGTTTTGGTCTCGGTTTTTGTCAAATAAATGACCCCAAACTTTGACTTATACTCCAGAGCAACATGTTTTTTTTCTACTTCATGATGCATTTTTTGACTGAGTAGGTTTTACAATCCAGAGCAACTTATTGTCAGAAAAATACGGTAGGTGCATTTTATTAATTGGTTAGTTATTTGTAAATACAATTTAAATTGAGGATGAATAGTTGTAAATATTAAATAATAAAATTGCCCAAATTTGGGTTAACACAAATGACATCTAATTGTGTGGCACTAACCTGCCGGTTTGGTTCTGGAGAAAACAAACTCGGCTGCGCTGCAACGCTGCACCTGTCGATTGCAAGCGTGAACGTCGATGCGGTATACGGTGAATGGCTGTAAACCGAAGATCTGCAGCTCGCGCTCCGTGACCGCTTGTTCGACAAAATCAAACTCTCGCTCCGCCAGCTCCGGGTCAGCGACGCTGCTGTTGGCGGCAGCCTGCAGGGGAGAGACTGTGCTGGTATTGGAGTGAAGCCGGTGCTGGCGTCGAGAGTGGGTGGCGTTGGCGATGTTGAATAGATCTCGACGACGGCGATCGGGTGGCCTGGGGGAAAAAAAAAAAAAAAAAACATTTCACGATTTAGTCCTTGAGGCCATTTTCGGTTAGCCACGAGAAATTTGGTAAGCTATAATGAGTAGACCCCACCCCCCCCACCCTCCAAAACAAACAAACAAACAAAAAGCTCACTAACATATGCTTGAAAAATAGGAAATCTGGCTTTTTGACACATTCCAGGGGTCATAGTTAGACAAGGTCCGAAAATATTTTGAAATTTCACCCCCTTCAGCCAGCGTTGCTGACTTTCAAAGGCAACGAACTTTATAATTTATTTTTTTAAGTTCTGCCCCTGCCATTTTCACTCTACAACACAAAATTGACACACTTATCATGAGCAGACCCACAAAAAAAAACCTTTGAACCTTGAAAGTTACAACAAGTTTGCCAGTTTGGCTTAAATCAGCCATTCCAATTCATATTGTCCATTTCCAGGATTCTTTCAAAGACGAATTTCTAAAATTAATGGGGTACAATTTAGAAATTGTGTTGACATGTCTACCATTAGTACACTCACAAAAAAGTCTCAAGAACCCATGCTCAAAAACACACCGTTTTTTAGCCTTTTTTTCTAAGCGATGTATAGATGTAACACATCTGTTGCTGACTCTAAGAATGCTAGCAATTTCTGTGTACTTGCATCAAGGCCTTGTACACAAAAGGATTTTTCAAATCTTAAAATAATTTTAAATCTGTGATTCATCCCATACAGTAAGATAAATCATTTAACTAAATTGAATGGTTTTTAGTCATTTTCTGTGTGGTGTGCTACGATTACGTCAACACATAGCACCGCACACACAAAGGTTTTGCTCCGACGCCGGTCCTCTGAGGCAAAGCATTCGCCTGACTACATGATTTTCGGTCGTAAATATTGAACATGTTTAAAATTGAAAATTGTTGGCCCAACTCGGTTTGGACCATTTTATCGGGACAAATCCCCTCAAACATATGGATAATCCTGTCAGGCATTCTCATCAGACATAAGATGGTCGGTCGGGAATTTGACAACCTTAGTGTGGAAGGGAAAACAGACGCACCACCCAATTTTCTCACAAGGGGGTGACAGTTCATTCCTACTCACAGCTTTATTTATTTAATTTTGTGACACTTTGATCATGTTTGCATGATTTACCATGTTTTGTTTTTTGTCTGTTTGTTTTTATAGTGTGTGTGTGAGGGAGAGGGGGTGTGGCATCTCTGTCGCTATATCAAAGGGGATATGAGGGTGAAAAGTTTCGAATAGACTGATCGAGTGTGGGAAAAGGAAGTTGGTTGTTTTTAATAAGAGTCACAGGTCTGTTGTTGGTTATTTGTGAGCAATGTCAGATGTAGTGAGGTTTTTGTTGTTCACTTTGGATCCGTGTTGATCTCACACAAGTCTTTCTGTGTGTGTGTGTGTGTGTGTGTGTGTGTGTGTGTGTCTGTTCCAGTGAGTCATTGAGTTGTTTTCAATGCTTTGCAGCCTCAGGGAGATGAGGACAACTGGTGAGCATTTTTGTAAATAGAGTCACAAAAACAGCACCAGTCATCTTTGCGGCGAGTCAACTTTGACCAAGAAACTTCAAGCACATCCGCCTGCAAAATCAATAGCAACATGATACCATTGAAAAAAAAAAGCGCAAGGGGATTTACACAGTACGGTAAACCCGCGCTATTTGTGGTGGATAGAGAACCAGATCTACTGCAAAAAGTGAAAAACCAAGAGTAATTGACAACACCCCCCATTTTTCAACTTTAAACTGTAAATCTCACACCAACTATGAAGCCAAAACAATTGAATATCATTAAAAACAACATTATCCTGTAATATTGATAGCTTATCTATCAATTGATTTGGGGGGAGGGGGGTGGACTGAAAAAGTGAATGTACATGGGAATCACAGTCTCTTAGGACATGAAGTGGGAGGCCAACATGAACTCCAGCCTGAAAAAGGCCCAGCAGAGGATGCACTTCCCAAGGCTGCTGAGGAAGCACGGCCTGGCACAGGAGCTGCTGAGACAATTCTACATAGTAGTCATCGAATCAGTCCTGTATTCCTCCATCACAGTCTGGTTCGGTGGCACCACAAAAAAGACAAAATCCGATTGCAACGGAAGGTTAGAACTGTGGAAAAAAAATCATTGGCACACCGCCAGAACCAAGACAAGGGCACAGAAAATCCTACTGAAGCTCCCATACCCTGCCCACCACCTCTTCCAGCTACTCCCTTCAGGTATGCACTATCGAACCTATGGATTCTATGATAATTTCAGTGCTCTCTCACAAATCATCAAGGCCTTCACAGAACTGGTGACAGTGAATTATACCCGGGTGCACCGTATTTACTAATTCAGTGACTTCGGATTGTATTTAGGGGCATCAGAGTACAGTGTGCTGAATGCAATTGCACACCACACTTTTGAGTTTTATATTTGCGTAAAATGTGGAAAACTGTGTGCCAATTTTATTCAACTTGACAATAATGTGCTAATTTGTGGAGGTCTCACATAAAATCTCAACAAAATACATTCACGTCTGTGATTGGAAGAGCCAAAATGTGAACGAGTGCAGAAAAGTTGTTCGAGGCTCTGTAAATTGTTAATGTTTAAAAAAAAAAAAAAAAAAAAAACGCACCTGGGTGTAAAGATGGAGTTATGCAGGAAGTTCTCAAAGACTTTCCGGTAGGAGGCGTCCGCGGCCTCTGCCTCCAGGTCCTCCACCGATTTGGGGCAAGGGCAGCAGGGGCCCTTGTCGGGGCCATCTGGGTCTGACTTTGTGGGCTTGGTGTCGTCATCCTGGTCCCCTACCCCGACTGCTGCCATCCTTACAGGGATCTTCAACTCTGTAGAGGAGGGTTGTCATCATTAAGTTTCTTGCTGGACTGGTTTTTATCATGTCTAATAAATTAAAACAAACAGGCACTGTGTATCAGCATGTGTGTATACCTTTGGAGCAGTAGTTGTGCTGGTACAGTTCTCGGTCTTCGGCCTGCTGCTGCCAGCGCACCAGGTAGTAAGTTTGATTGCCGTTGGGGGAAACTGGGGGCAGCCAGCGCAGCACCAGCTGGGTGGAGGAGTTGGAGTAGGCACGCACGTCCTGAGGCATGGAAGGCGCTGCGGTGACAAAACAGGCTTCATTGGTTCTTTCTGGTGCTCAGATGTATTTAGACAGAAATTTCACAATAACTTTTCGTGATTATTTCGTGTTTAGCGTCTTTTTACAACAGAATTTTGGCTATGAGTGGGTTTACCTGAGGGGCTGGTGCGGATGTACACCACCTTGCTCTTGGCGCTGGGCACCTGCTTGTCATCCACCATGAGCGTGATGGCCTTGACGAAGACGGCGTACTGCGTCCACGGCTTCAGGCCGGAGAGCAGCACGCCAGGGTCGGTGTCCTTGTCTTGGTGCAGCTCCACATCCACCATGTTCCAGCTGTTGGAGCCACAGCCGTCCTGACCCTCAAACTCGGTGATGTTCTGGTACGGCCTAAGGGAAGGGACAGGGATGGGTGGGTGTTTGGCAATCACGAGTCCACTGTACTGAGTAATATGTGCATGAGAAATCACAGCTGAGGTCAGAAGAGGGGAGGACACAGCAAATGGAAACCTACGCCTCTTTGTAGTAGACGATAAAGCTGATGAGGTCTCTGTAGTCTCGGGGGCGGTAACGCTGCCAGGTCAGCTTGATCCTGGTGCTGCTGGTGGTGTTGGACTTGAACTTTAGGATGGTGCTTTCGCCTGAGAGAGTAAAAGACGGTTCTTGCATCACAAATAATTCTTGCCTGGACCTTAAAAGTCAAGAGGTTGTCAAGGGTTCTTGATGCTCCGTTTTTTCCCACCGCACAGTGCCATCTGCAGCACAGTTAAGCTGTATTCAGCTTCCATGTCAAGAGTATAACAGAAAACAGCATGAAACACACCACCCATGACCGTATCTGTCGGAAAGACCCCAACAACGGAGAATTATGCCGATGTTAAAATAAATTGCATTACGTATTAGCTGAGAATCAGGAAAAAATAGAAATACAAAAATATTTGTTCTGGATTATATAAATGTTTGAAAATTTAAAGAACCCCCCCTAAAAGATACAAAAATAAAAACAGTTAAAAATGCGCATAAAACCAAAAAAATCCCCAAATATTCCCATATAAACAACCAGGAAAAAAAAAACCAAGATATTGGGGAAATGAGAGAAAAATACAAAATATTCCAATAAAATATTGAAATATTACTGGTAAGTGTTAAAAGTTTGAAGGAAATACCAAAATATTAGGTAAAAAAGATGAAAAAGTGTTAAAAAAAGAAAAATGGTTTGAAGAAGCATTATGAGAAAAATACAAAAATCACATGACTATTGCACAAATATTTGGGAATATAAAAATACCCCCCAAGCCCTCCCCCAAAAAACAAACATTGAAATATTGGACAAAAAAATTAATTTTGCTGTCACCTGAACTACTTTCCACACCACATTTCATTGCACTGAAAGTGGAACTGATTTCTTTTGTCTTCTACTACGTTGATAAACACGACGTAACGATACTTAAAATTTGAAATGGTAAAACATTCAGAATTCTATCAAGGGTTTTCGATAAGCTGTTTCATCCCGAATTGAAGAGAGACTCGAAACTGCGGTTTATAACAACGGAAAAGAAATAAAAATGAGCATCGTGCAGCGTAAGGTGCCAAACTAAGCTACAGCAACCCCAATGAAAACAGGAAATATTTGGACTGCTTCGGAGCGTACAGCTGGCTCGGTCGCCGTTGTTTCGGAAGTCACTTTCGTCGAAGCGCCCCGCAATGCCCGTCTGCTCCCACATCTTTTGGATCTCCGAAACACAGAGCTTGGGATTGGCCCGGAAGAACAGCTTCCCGTTCCTGATGGTGAGGTTGTGCTGCTTCCAGTCCCACAGGTACTGCAGCTGCTGGTTGTCGAACGCAGAGAAGGCGTACATGCTACAGGGGTAAAGGAGGAAGGTGTCATCATCATTCAGTCGCATTTTACCTCCATCTTTAGGTTCTTCATACCATTTCAGACAGCCATTTAATACAGGGTACCTCCAACTCGAAAGTAATGCTACAACCATTTTATGCCGGGTATCTTCCAATTTTCAGGCGCTCGACAGTATTTGGGCAGTAATTTTATGCAGAGCGTCTCCATTTTCAGGCGCCCAAAAATGTTTGGCAAGCCATTTGGTACTGTAACTCATTTTTTCTGATGCATGAAAAGATTTGGTCAGCCATTTCAGACACTGTTTTGACCCTGTGAGGGGAAATTCAATGATCACAACAGCAAAATTTATACATAAAAACTCATGATGTTCTCCAAACAACAGCATATAAACAAAAATAAAAGAGCAGCGTGTTTGATGTAATCACACAAGAATTTTTTTTTTTCAATGTTCTATTTTGGTATATGGTAAGTAAACTTTGATCATGCATAATAGTATTGAATTTTTACAATTAGTGCCAAGTGGAAAGTACAATTTTATTGACAGTGATACACAACAAAATGTTGATTATTTATATTTCAGCCAAAATATACAGCATGTAACAGGCTTAATGCTTCAACTTGACTGACACTTTTCCGAGTACCTCTACTTTCACACGCGCAAATGGATTTGCACAGTAAATTTAAAGTCATGCACCTTTTCAGGTGCTCAAAAGTATTTTGATTCCGCCCCCCCCCCAATTTCTTTTTCTCCATTGCTGCTTGCAGTCTCACACGACTGAGTAACTGAGCACAAGTAATGAACTGCACATACTAGGCCACGTCAGATCCTGAAATCCTTTAAATCAGTTTTTTTATTAATAGTACTAGGAACTAAATCGACCGAAAAAGCACATGGACGGAATGTGGATATTCGCCTGTGTCTGAGGGGAAGTGTTGCACTGTTGCTGCAAGGACGCTTCCTAGACTTAGAGAGGCACGACACCTTCTGAGGATGCGTTTTTGCTGCAAACAAATCAAGTCATCTGGCAACTTTATAGCGTTCTTGCTCATTACCAGACACATTCCGATCTGTTTTGTCACCATTAATCATGATCAGCCGAAGGGAAAATAAGATCCGGGGAGAAGGGCAGGGGGGCGGGAGGTGGCGATGTGGCTTTTTATGATACGCTGGGTACCACCCAGACATGAAGGAATGACTGCAATGTGGCGCCTTGGGACAGCGAGACTCTTGTAAACTCGAGGAGAAAAAGAAGAGGGGGATGTTTTCCTGAGCCACCGAGATAGCGTCTTGATTAGATTTAGCCGCTCTGGTTACTTTATTGGAAAAAAGTTCCACTCTGACTATTGAGGTCCAATTAAGGATAGACATCCAGCGTCATTTACTGTATTTGTCATCAGCCTTTCTTTCACCCAATTGGACAAGAATGGAGATGATCTGTTCCATCATAAAACCTTTGGTAAGATGTTTAAGGCAATTCTCAAATGTCACTTCCAACAAGTCATTCAAGGGTAAAAATATGTTGATCACTTTTAATTCTGAAAAAATAATCTTCAAACGCCTGCTTTTTTACAATCTTTTCTGTGTTGCAATTTAAACATTCTGAACAGTCATACAAGCGTAAAACGAAGCTAACTACCATTAAAAACACCACACTAAGTCTTGGTTTATTTGCGAATAGAAAATAAAAAGAGAACAAAAGGAGCGCGTTTGAGTGTTCTTACTCGTCCAGGAGTTCCTCGCCGTCGATGTATTGCAGGTTGCGCAGGAAGGCCAGCGAGCTGAGCGTGTGCGAGTGTCGGATGCGCACGTAGCCCGTCACCCTCTGGATCAAACCCGTGAAGCTCTCCAGCTCGGCCACCATGTTGTCTGTTGAGACACAATGTCAAAAAACCCCCAAAAAACATCACATTTAATAATTAGCGTTGGACGTTCTTCTTCTGTGTTTTTATGGTTTTATATGCAGGAAATGACACGGCCCTCAGAATTTCCAAGGTCCTGGTCTAGACTCCATGTGACATCACTGCGGATTGTAAAAAGTGTTTTGCTCTCACATGTTTAGACTACTCCAGAGCCACCAACCCGGAACTCAGCTTCCCTTCAAAAGTATTGGAACGGTGAGGGATGCAAGCTCTTGCCATGCGTGCATTAGCATTGACCAAGTCTTAGGACCACGTTATCTTTTTAGCAGGCTAATTATTGTCATAAACAGTCCATTCAGATTGTTCTTGCCTGATTTTGACTTTCGTGCGATGCTGAGGGTCTGACATGGCGCTAGCATGTTTCTCAAAACATCTTGTTTTTTTCAGGAAAAAACAAATGTCTAAAATATGAATTTGTGATTGCAACATCGCGCCTTTGCTGCATCCGCACTTATTGACATTCTCACGGTGTCGCCTCAAATCCTTCTCTTTGTGTACCATGCTGCCGTTTTACAGCGTCTTTGTGCTGCAGCAGCCCTTTCACGAGCAGCACTCTTTTACATGGGCTAACCATCCTTCTATGCAGTACAGTAGAACCCCGATTTACCGAAGTGATATGGGGGAGGTGTCCTCCATTCGAGCCAATTGTTCATTCAACTGAAGAACACCAATTACAGTACAAGATATTATTGTACTGTTTGTGCGACCTAAAATTGCCCAGTACAGTATGAAATTACTGCACGAAATACACGAAAGCATGAAGCCGTTTTTAAAATGTTACCCACACTTAGCTAGCTGGTGCTTGGGGGAGGGGAAAACTTCATGAGCCGCGTTCATGTTAGCGCATTCCTTTTTTATTCCACCTCCCTTACAATTCTATGCCACAGATAAGAGCTTGACAACAAAAACAATGCTCACGCCACTAAACAACGGCCATAAATCTGAGTCAGTAGATATGAAACGCTTCTTCTGCCCCTTAAATCTGGAGTCCGTCTGTGTTAAATCGAGGGTTCACCGTATATCTTACCTATCCGTGCCGCGTGCTTTGACTGCGTGTCATTCATGATAAGAAGCAGACGTCGGCGCGGTGTACTCACGGCCTCTGCGGATGTTGATGTGCAGGTTGCCTTTAATAACCGTGCAGCCTTTCAGGGACTGCGCAGCGTCCATGGAGTCAATGACCTTCTCCTCGCAAACTTTATCGCACAGGCCGTCGCAAGCGGTACAGGACATGCTGGAGACAGACAGATGAACCGACACAGGACTAAAACGTACGGTCTTGCTCTCAAAACAGACAATAAAAGATGAACTTTGATCAAATTTTCAGCTTGTAGCAGCATTCCAGATGTTTACAAATAACATTTTTAGCTGTAAATGTTTAAAGCGTTTTAAAATGGAACCAAAAACTATACACTATGCAAAGTTGCATCTATAAATGCAAAAAGAAATACTTTTTTTTTGATATATAGAAGATGAAATCAGATCAATACAATTAGGAAGATGCATTGTGCTAAAGAGCACTAAAATAAACACTTGGTTTAAACTACTGGTTTTTAAATCTTGTTCGTTAAAACGAACATTTTTTTGCATGCATAATTTGATGTAGACAATCAAAATGTAGTTTGCACCTGAAACCAAAAAAAAAAGATCATTGAAAAATTAGGAGGAGCGTATTATTTTGCGATAAAGGAATTAAAAAAATGAATTAACACATTTAAAAAGCCAATTTTACAAAAAAAGAAAATGAATGCACCAAATATTACAACACTTGTAGTCTTAAATGTAAATGCTAGGTTGGGCTGGGCTGGGCTAAGCTAGATGTAGCGCAGCAGGCTAACCTGTTGGAGGCGGTGCGCGTATACCCGAAGGGGCATTCGGACATGCACTCGCCCTCGTGGATGACGAAGCTGTCGTAGTCCGGCAGGTGGACTCTGGAGCAGAGCTCGGCGCTGACGCAGCGCCAACCCTCAAACTTGTAGGTGCCGGGCGGACAGTCGGCCACGCAGCGGCCTTGGTGGTAGTAGTGCACGCAGGCGGCGCAGGAGCTGTCGCTGCCCGCCACGCTGCAGCTGCCCAGGCACTGCGCGTGGCAGCAGTCGCCGCTCGCTGTGCATGCTCGCCGGCCGCATTTCTCCGGGCACTCTGATGGCAAAACACAAAAAGGGGAAAAAAAACAACTGAATATTATTATTCATGTAAAAATTACTCACGGAAATAACAATTATTATTTTTAGATTATTAACTTACAACAGAACTTTTTGAAAACTATAAACTCCCCGTGGGATTGCAAAGATTGTGACATCTCCTTCAATAGTGATTTTTTTTTTTTCATTTGGAAGGATGTAACGCAAGAAAATATGAAAAACAAATGACAATGATTTTGTCCAATCATTATTTTGGAATATATTATTCTCAAAAAGGACGCTGATGTGAAACATTTGCTGAGTGAGCGCCTTCTGAGAACAACTACAAGCCTCCCCACGAAGCGTACAAATTGCTCAATCTCCTGTAGTGGGGGTCCACTCAGGTTCCAATCCCAGGGCCAGTAATGAATAATCAGCATGATTTACACTCTCCTGGAGGACTTAGCCTACGCGAAGTACAGCCTGAATTTGGAAGCACAAGTTTAGCGTTTCTCAGATATCTGTGATGAAAAATCTGTCGTGAAAAGTATGTTACCCGCTTGTATTAGCCGTGTGTGGGGGGGGGGGGGGGGTCAATGTTTCGACACGGCGCATAATGAAGTCATGTGAAATGATGTGCTGTTTAAGTGATGCCGAGTGATATGACGCACATGCTGCCTCCAACACCCACTTGTGCTCAGAGTGTTTTATTCAGCTTCGTTCCTTCGGGGAATACCATTTTGAGGATTTTCAAAAAGCCAGCAACAAAAAATTAAGAAATAGCCCTCAACAGAAGTTTCATGGACATGGTCTATCTTAACAGGGCATATGAAAAAGGTCTCAAGGATCCATGTGGCCCTTAATTGCCGTGTTTCTTTGCTTATGCTGTTGAACGTGGGCCACCACGGTATCATGTTGAAGATTCTCTTCACAAAGACACAAAAAAAAAACCCAAACACGAGTAAAATAGTGTCTATCACAACACAAGGAACAAAAAAAGTTTCATTGACCCATGTCCAAAAGTGAACAACAAGAAGGCCATTGAGATTTGAAGCCGCCAGGCAAATCGAGGCCTTGTACTTTGATGAACTCCTGCTTGAGAATTAGACCAAATGATGCCCAATCAGAAACAGGTGCCGAGACAGATGTGAAGCTTTTTCTTTTCCCCCATCGCCATCTAACACGGATGATACATGGAATCAATAGACGCCAACTAAAGTAAATTCAGATGTCAACAGGACAACAAAGTCATTTTCTTAACATGAAAAAAAGAATATTTTCATGCCAACTGAACCCACCAACGGACCCGCAGTCTGTCCAGTTTGACGAAAACAGATCATCAGTCGGTAACCACGAGGTGACCTTCACCTGTCCACCAATCAGAACCTTCCAAACTGTGTGGTCCCATCAGCCATTCAGCAGGCTGTTTTTTGTGGTTGCGTGTCTCTCTTTGGCACACAATGTTCTTCCACGACAAAACCGCCCACCCTCCCTTACGCCTCCTCGAGCAACCCTGTGACCTTACACTAAGTTAAGAAAAAAAATGGTGACAAACAGCTGGGGTAAGGAAAAGGGCGGGAACCGGCCGCAATACGCAAGTCTGACACAGTGGTTACCAGCTTTTGAGCTAACATGTTGCATGTCTGCTACGCCGCAGTAAGAAATAAGGGATGGGAGAAGGTGGAGATAAGGAGAGTAGAGGAGGAAAGTCATTTCACATGGTGGGCTTGCTTCCAAAAAAAAAAAAAAAATGCTGTGGGAGGGACTGCCAGTAGGGGGAGTTGGCAAGTTATTGTCATTTCCCGTAGGAAATAATGGAAATAGGTTCCAGCTTTCACCATCATAAAGTAAAATTATTTGTATAGCGCATTCACCAGAGCTGTAGCTTTCGCAAAGCGCTTCACAAAACATTTTACATAAAATAATAATACAACATAAACATCGACAATACAATCTTAACGATTCCAACATATGCCGACAACTTTTCGGAAACCGACACTGTTTAAAAAATTTCACCGTCCTGAACAGTCATACACATTTAAAGAGACATTCACCGCCACTTGAAATTAAATCAAACGGCTCGCCGTTGGAAGAAAAATTTACTCAATTGTCATACAAGTGCAAGTTTAACTAGTTAGTACAGCTCAAATTACGTCAAACTAGTCAGCCTTGGTTAACATTTTCCCAGCTGTTTATTTACTGTAAAATGTGTGCAGAGCATTTTTCTTAATCTCTTGAATGTGTCCTATTCAGTTGCATGGCCATGCGGAATGGAGGGTCGGAATACTTTTTCAGGCCGCAACAGATTTTTTGTGCATTTGGGGAGTTTGATATACTCCCTATGTGCTTATTTATATTGTGATGGATTTTGACTGGAAAATGCAGTTGGGCAGAACGTGAACAGAGCATCACTTTTACGCTTCATGGCAAAGGCGGTGATTTGTTCTGACTCCCAATTTTTTCACATTGTCATGATGGAGTGTTGCGTGTAGATTTTTTGGGGGGAGGGTG